AAGGCTGAGGCGGAAGGCTCGCCGGAGCCCGGCAGGTCGAGGCTGCAGTGGCCAGGAGCAGCCACCGCACTCCAGTCTGGGCAACCGAGTGAGACCCCAACTCAAAAAATAAATAAATAAATAAAGTTAAGGACTCAAATGTCCTCATTTCTCATCCAATAATTTGTCTACTCTAAAGAGCTGTGTCCCCCTCCAACTTGACTTCTTTGCATAAGGGGAAATACTTCACGAAAGATAGACTGGGTGAGCTAAGCACTAGCAAAAAATAGTAATTTAATCATCAAAATGTAGTGAACCATTATAACCAGATGGCTTTGTCAGTAAGCAATACAGCGAGCCACTCTTTCCTTACCTTCAGCGAGAACACACAGAGGATAAATGGGCATCCACAGGGTTTGACTGAGCCACGTCAAGATAGCATATGATATTCCTATGACTGATAACATGCTATAAGTATACCTGAAAGCAGACAAGGGACTCATAAACATCATTTGCTACTGATGTCTGGGAAATAACAGAAGAAACTACCTTACTATATATGGAATTAAATACAAGGCTATAACTGGAAAGTGTGCAAATTACATACTTTATTTCCTATATTTAAGCAAGGCGAGAGGTAAAAAAGCAGCAATGAGGGTAAGGCAACAAGGTCAGAATGACTTGTCTCATAGGGTACATCATGGATAATTACAGAGCTAAACAGAGCAAGAATGTAACTGTTGCCCCCTCAAGAAATTACAATTACAAGTATCCTTAGTAGTGACTTCAATTTTATTAAAAAGCCAGGCCCATTTTGTGTAGTAGCAAACAGCTAGGTTTTATAAAGACAGGCATACATGTAAATATCTCAGAAATGAATTTAAAAATTAAAATGTGACTTTCAAATAAAGATTTGGCATCCCTCTACTTCTATAATTGTGCTATTTTATGTGTTCAGTTAAAGAACGGCCTTGAGAGTGGTTTTGGATATACTAGGTAGCTTTAAACCTAACATTATGCTATAATAAATGAAGCAGTCTACATCTTTTTTTATTTTGTTGAATAGCCCAGTGGTTCTTAGGTATGAGCAGTCAACACAATCACCCGTCTGGCTTGTAAAAACACAAATTGCTGGTTCCTACTCCCATAGTTTCGGATTTAGGGGGATCTGATGTACAGCCTAAGAATACGTATTACTAATAAGTTCCAGGTGATGCCAATGCTACTGGTCCAGGGACCACACCTTGAGAACCACTAGAATAGGCAATACATACTAATGGCAAAACAAAACCCCAAAACCATGGAAACATGAATAGGGAAAAGTAAATGTTTCTTTCATTCAGGAACCTGAAGTCCACTCCTCAGAGATAATGACCAATGCCAATTTTTTTTTTTTTTTTTTTTT